CAATTTAAATATAAATTTTAATACAAATATTAAATATAAATTTTAATATAAATATAAATTTTATGACAATCGGGTAAAAACTGCAGAAGTTACAGGTTCTAGAATATTTAGACAAAAAATGTTGTTACCATGGCAACGATGACTCCACCCACACCAAAAACGATAGGCGTCTTCGCTTTACGATAACGCACCTTCATGCGAAATTTGAAGATGATCGGAGAAGAACTGCAGCCGGTAGAGCGCTCACAAGGAAATCTCTGCGGCGGCGGCGGCGGCGCGACGATGCCAAACCCATAGTATCCCCACGAACTTCGTTCGGGGGATACAATAATTGGCAAGAGTAAAGACAGCTAGGTGGTTGTGCCATCTCCGTTACACATTACCCACACAAGCTAGCTGTAGCCTCCTTCTTTATGAAACATCTAACCCTATGCAACTAAAGCTACGGAATGAAAGTCCCCGATTAAAGTGATTACGTCACCGTAAATAGTAAAAGTAAAAAAAATTATGGCCACTTTCTCACAAAATGTAAGTGATTCTGTTCACTTTTTATGGTTAAATTGTTGCATTATTACTTCCTATTTTGCTATTCCGTTCGAAGTGAACAAACACTCGTGACTCGTACATAGCCCATAGCAAGCATTTAATGTCGTGATAAATATATGAAATTGCCCAGGTTTTTTAAATATTTTTAACTAGTTCAGAAACAATCTTATCAGGTAAGAATTTGAGGATACATTTAGTCCCATTAGTACTTACTTTTCATGTAAAAGAATTTCAACAATTTTGAAAAATCATGAAAAATTCGTCACGTAGTTAATTTAAGTCCAGCACTTCAATTCACATTACGTTTTTTTATTCTCAGAAACGCAGCAAAGTGACAACAGCTCACTGCACAAATGTGCATAAATCTGGGGATAACTCGAAAGGGGTAATTGACACTCTCACCTAACCGAACATCCATAAAATAACCAACGGGACTAATTTGCCTTCTCATCTACTGCACTCCTCAGCTAGGTTCACAGATTCCGCACAATACATGAGGAAAGATCTCATCACACCCCTTGGAACAAGCCGGCGCAGGGGCTAGCGCATTAGTAATTAACGAATGATGAATAATTGATCGTGGGACATGCATATTTTAAGAGCAGCTGTCTCGTATATCGTCACAGCCCCCAACACCTACTGCACCCAGCCCTGTGAGTTTCTAAGCTAATGGGATCTGGGTCACTGCCACAATTGCAGAGAAGATCATTTTTGGAAGCCACAAAAACACAAAAAGTATCTAGCTTCCTTTACAGTGTATCTAAATGGATACAAGCTGTCGTGAGTGTCCCACTAATAGTTATAAATAATTAACATCTCTCATTATACACCCTCACCCCAACATACACATACCTACGCTAAATCGGACAATCTGTTTTCCAATGCTACATCAAAATTCACTCTTAATCATGACCACTGGAAAAGGTTAACCCCCTCAAGCTTTAAACCTTCCAACGTTTGAACTGTAGACATGATCCAATTACCATGACCGAGTACATTCCCCTGAGGAAATGCATTCCCTTTTAATTTCACACACGCAAAAACTGGTGCAGTTCTTCAACTTTTTTTAGCATGCCAGCTTTAGGCCATAAACTACATAACCTCAGTTTGGGAGTCACTAACAAAAGATATTTGAGGTTAAAAAGTAAGCCCAGAGGGCAAAAAAACAATGCACAACACATCACTTCACTATTTAAAACAGGTGGCTAAACTTTTAACTGCAACTATTACAGCAGTGCGTGTCCCATGACTAACTAGACAGAGGGCACTCACGGAGAGTGCATACCTCCGCCAGCATGTAACATGTATGTGTTACGAGCTGGCTCGCTGACTTTACGCGCTAGTATCGATCGCGCAGACACACTAACACACGAACACACTACACGAGAGCGATCACATAACCTCCTCCACTCCGTGGCCAGAGGTAAAAATGCATCCCACTATCACACAGCTACAAGCAAATATTTAGCATCACGAAAATGCAAAAATTTAAGATGGTCCCAACCATCAAAACAAATAGATGATGGAAAACACAATTGCCCGAGTTACTGCCAAATGCCAATGAATCGCAGATGCTGATTAGTTTTCCTAATTATTTACCCGATGCACTACATAATTTCAAGAGTAGATAATAACACAAGAGTGAGACAACCGATTCCCGCATTTTTAACCGATTTTTCTCATCAAAATTTGCCACCAATAAAGAAGCAAGTGTATACGTTCCTCAGCTTATTATGACCACTAATCANGACACTCTCACCTAACCGAACATCCATAAAATAACCAACGGGACTAATTTGCCTTCTCATCTACTGCACTCCTCAGCTAGGTTCACAGATTCCGCACGATGCGTGAGGAAAGATCTCATCACACCCCTTGGTACAAGCCGGCGCAGGGGCTAGCGCATTAATAATTAACGAATGATGCATAATTGATCGTGGGACATGCATATTTTAAGAGCAGCTGTCTCGTATATCATCACAGCCACCCCCCCCCCCAACACCTATTGCACCCAGCCCTGTGAGTTGCTAAGCTAATGGGATCTGGGTCACTGCCACAATTGCAGAGAAGATCATTTTTGGAAGCCACAAAAACACAAAAGTATCTAGCTTCTTTTACAGTGTATCTAAATGGATACAAGCCGTCGTAAGTGTCCCACTAATAGTTATAAATAACTAACATCCCTCATTATACACCCTCACCCCAAACATACACATACCTACGCTAAATCGGACCATCTGTTTTCCAATGCTACATCAAAATTCACTCTTAATCATGACCACTGAAAAAGGTTAACCCCCTCAAGCGCTAAACCTTCCAGCGTTTGAACTGTAGACATGATCCAAGTACCATGACCGAGTACATTCCCCTGAGGAAATGCATTCCCTTTTCATTTCACACACGCAAAAACTGTTCGGTGCAGTTCTTCAACTTTTTTTTAGCATGCCAGCTTTAAGCCATAAACTACATAACATCAGCTTGGGAGTCACTAACAAAAGATATTTGAGTTTAAAAAGTAAGCCCAGAGGGCAAAAAACAATGCACAACACATCACTTCACTATTTAAAACAGGTGGCTGAACTTTTAACTGCAACTATTACAGCAGTGTGTGTCCCATGACTAGAAATGCATCCCACAGCTACAAGAAAATATTTAGCATCACGAAAATGCAAAACTTTAAGATGGTCCCAAACATCAAAACAAATAGATGATGGAAAACACAATTGCCCGAGTTACTGCCAAATGCCAATGAATCGAAGATGCTGATTAGTTTTCCTAATTATTTACCCGATGCACTACATAATTGTGATAATTAGAATAGCACCAATGGTCTTGTTGGCATTCCCTACACAGCGTCCATGCATGTAGCTTACCTAAACCCTAATTACGTTAATAGTTAAGTAATGAAGGGCGATGCAACTCACTACACTCTTAGAAGTTGGGTAACCTAGCACGTTGTACCAACTAATACTGTCCCAAAACATGTCTAACTCCAACAACACTGCCTACTCACAGGAGAGGGACTCTAGTTGGTTAAAGTCGGATCCAGAGTTAGACGTCAAGGGTTAATAACCCCCCCCAGTTACCGGAGTGGTGCAATCCAGGATGCACCTGGGACTTCAAACGCCAGTTCGTAGCAAATGCCTAGATGTAGCTACTGTGACTAGCCATATATGTCTGGCAAATTCACTACTACTCATTTGTATTGCTAGCGTCATAACATTCTTCAGCAAACCCTAAAACAGTCCTTACGATACCTAGTAACTTTCAATGTTCACACAGTCGCTTTTACACACTCCCGGGACACTCAGCCGAGCGCGCAGTTTATCATTAACAATGAACTGTCTTTCTAGCTATGATAGCAACAAGTTATTATCATTTATTCAATGTTTGTTCCAGTACAAATATGTTAAAATTTGTTAGATCATGTTATCTAGCATTCACTTATGCAATCAGCAAAACAATGAAAGTTGTTTTCTTCCCAGGAACTATTTCGCGCTAGCGTAGGCCTACTGTTAGCGTTCTCAGTCACATCGCTCTAGAATGTGGTATCTGTAACGTCCGAAACTTTGTCCGACAAAGTTTTCAAAATTCAATGTAAATATGAATCAACTTCGCAGGCAGCATTTCTGGCTCAATAAGAACATTTTGTGATGGTTTGCATACTGGCAAGTCATGGCTCAACAGTAGCCAAGGGGTTCTTAATACAGTAAGCAGGCACACAGTGGACGCACCGCCGTTGTCAATTTAACATCGAGCCGTCTGTGAACAATGTGTCCTGGTATTACTGATAAGTATATCCTGGTATCTATATATAGTGTTGTTCAAATCGGTTTGTAATGTTCGTAATAGATCAGCGGTGACGCCAAGTAACCGGATATCGGTTACAGATCGGGTTACTCCGGGTTTTGAATGCCCTGCGTCGTGCGTGAACGTCGTGTGCATGTACGTGTGTAGCATGTATGTGATTTGTTTTAGCCCCCTAGTTTAACTGTTTTTTGCACTGTTTACTACTGTGGGATAATACATTGTACGTCGATTCTCATGATTTTCCAAGTTTTCTTGTTCAATTTAAAAAAAAAAAATTTTTTATTTTTTTTTTCCGCATGAAATTGATTATGGATTTTGATAACCAACGCGAAGTTGTTTGAGCCACTGTTCAACCGCTGATCGAGTAAAATCGATGATCGTGAGCAATGCACTACTATAATACCTATAATATATCAATACATGCCTGTATTTGAAATCCATCATGGTGCAGTGTTTTTTTTTCCCAACTGGCCATTACGCCTCGCTTTGTCTAGTTTCCCTCAGAAAAAACTCCCGCGAGTAAGTGTCTTTTGTTGCGAGGTTTATTCAATCGTACACGCCCCGCTCACCAGCGCTGGGCCTACCTCGTTCTTTGGCGGCGTCAGCAGTTCTGAACTCCCGCGTGAAAGGTCTCGAGCGGTGCTTTTACGATGAGCACGCTTCTCGCTACGGTGCGCAGCGAGCCGGGTCGTAGGTCTCTTCTGCGTGGCAGGTACACCTGCACCCGCGCTGCTCCTCAAACAGCCTGCTCCCGCGTCCCTCTCGCCTGCAGAACGTGTCACTACAGCAAGCCACAGTCAGGCAGCAGCCCAGAATGATGCTGGCCTTGATCTGCGACTTCTGATGCAGCATCAGTAAGCCGCCACTTACAATCTAATAACATTTTTGGCACGCACAGCATCGCATACGACGCACGCGCGCACCACGACACTTCTAACCAGCCCCTTCTTCAGGAACACCGGCATGTGCCATAATAATACATCATACATATAATGATCTATATATATTATACTATCATACATATATACATATCAGGTACAAGCACTGACAAAGATGCACACTAACGAATTGTGCATTTAACCCCCTTCCCTGCCTCTCTCCCCTCCGCTCACCTCTCATGACTCCGTGACGGATCTGCCGGAGGACTCGAACTCCCTTCAGAGAAGCGCTGCGTCGGTCCTGCAGGAACATCATTCTCAAAGTGCTCCGTGTGAGACGAGCAGGTTCTGGCCACTCTTCACTGTCGGTTCCTCCCTCATTGAGACCCAGCTCCACTGCGTAGACCAAATTGCAGACGATTATAAGACGCGGGTCGCTACAAAGCACTATTTGTTTGTGAGTACTAGCTCATGCGTAAAAATATGCAGGAGTGTGAGCTGAGGGCGTGAAAGCCGCCGATTATAAGCGCGACCTGCTGTATATATACGTCTCGCCCGCGGCTAAACACCATGTATATACAATGTAAGGAGTGACTGGAATTTGTTGTGCACAGTGGTGCAAAAAGAAACCACTGAAGACCATGACCTTGTAGCGTTCCATCGTAACCAGGGCTTGTCATACTTAAGCATTGTCAACGAATGATGACAGGATCAGAAAAGGACGTGACATTACTGGAGGAGAATACGTGTAAGTAGAGACAAGCCACACAGAGAGTGACAGCGAGAGAGCATCAAACAGAGAGAGATAAAGAAGAAGAGCGAGAGAGACGAGAGAGAGAAGAGAGAGCGGAGCGGACGTAGAGCGGAGAGCCGAGAGCGAGAGCGGAGAGAGAGGAGAGCGACGAGAGAGAGAGAGAGAGGGGAGAGGAGAGAGGGAGAGAGAGAGAGAGAGAGAGAGAGAGAGAGAGACGAGAGGAGAGAGAGAGCGAGAGAAGAGAGAGAGAGAGAGAGAGAGAGAACGAGAGAGAGACGAGAGAGAGAGAGAGAGAGAGAGAGAGAGAGAGAGGAGAGAGGAGCGAGAGAGAGCAGCAGAGAGACAGAGACACGACGAGAGTGTGAGATCAATGCAGCATGCCGTGGTATGAATCCGCAGATACGCACACTCCAAATCTAAATTGCAATTTTGCGTCGTGTCAAGAGGAGCAGGACACGTGAAGAAGAAGAGCAAATGAGAGGAGGGAGACGTCTGCGAACATGCATTAAGATAGACCGTAACAGTTGATGAACCCCGCTGACGAGGTCGTGTGTTTGATGGTTCGCCAATTTCCTCTCTCGCCATCAGCTTCAGGACCCATTGGTAACCTGCCGAGGAACGCAAAAGAATTGTCTTAACTACATATATGACAACGCCACACAACAAGCAGTACGTCAGCCAGATCTGCACAATAAACATATCGCAACCCTGCGTTATAGACGTGCTGTGGAAAAACCTACTCAGACTGATAGGACATGTATGGTTTAGAACATGATATCGCCTATCAAATACACATATATGACTACCAATGAGGATAACTATTAAAGTTGTAAAGAATTATAATTACAGCTGAACTGGAACTCGCACTACTAACAGTTGATATATACAGTCTGAAGGCGTGGCGACTTATAAACCCTACCTATATCACACAGTGATATTAAGGTCAGTATCCATCCCACTACAGCTATACAATTAAAATGAGTATGTGATTTTTCTGTAATCCTGTTACAAGCTATTTTTAATCCAGCTCAGTGACATACATGCACGGCATGTCAACATGCGGCATCTCAGAGGGGCCCAATTCTCTATTTCATTCAACACACATTGTTTTTGCTTTAATCTTTTTTAGCTTAGCCGCGTCGTTTTACCATGCAGCCAAACTATTCACACAGACTGTAGACACTGACGAACCAAACAGGAACGCTTGTGATAACTGCCGCACGAAAATCTCCCTCCGTCCCCGATACTACTTGCCCGGGATCTGATTTTAAATCAACCATCGTAAAAAATTGAAATTTAAGATTAAAATTTAAAAACACCAGCACAGCCACTGGGGCTGGGGGCCAGACGCGTCAAACGAATTACATTTAAATTTCACAGCTCGGGCCATATATTGAGCGTGAACGAGACACGACTGGCCTGCAGTGAGCAGTCATGTGAGAACGGTGTACATGTCTGCTGCTGCAGGCTCCAGTCATGGAAACGAGGTCTCAAGTGGTCGGCAACCGAAAACTATGTCAAGCGCCAACAGCAGTGTGTCGCTAGTAATGCTCCACATACAGTGCAAGGCCAGCAAGAGAACAGAACCCCTGCCCACCTCCCGGCCACAACAACATCTTCGCGGCGAGAACACGGCACGTATGGAAATTCAGCGAATGCGCGCAGATTGTTTTTATGAAACTATACGCCTAAATGGTCTTGCTCAAAGAAGAGTGGCCATTTAAAAATGGCCAATTAGTATCGATTTTATAGGCAATTGCAAAATTCGCCAACAATGAACTATGAACTTTCACGTCAGACAATACATAGCAGTGGATCTCTGTGAGTCTTAATTAAATGCTAACGCAGATTCCTGGGCCCAGTGTTGTTTACAACAGATAGAATAGGACGTGTTACCGTGCTCATGGTACAGTACATAACCCAGACTTAAGCGATTAAAACTTCCTTCATTCTATGCAATGACATTGTACTACCTCAATTGTCATCTGTTGGCTGCTAATGTTCATATCAACCTATGATGGCCAACTATCACTCTCTCCATTCTTTGCCTCTTTCGCATCTCTCGGCTCTGCTCTCTCTCCTCGAGCTCCGGTAATCACACTCTCGCCTCTCTCTGCTCCGCTGCGCATCACACTCACTCTCCCTCGTTGTCTCTGCTCATTTCTTTGTCTTTGTCTTCTCTCGCCTTTCTCTCTCTCTCTCTCTCTCTCTCGCCTCTCTCTCTCTCTCTCTCTCACCATCTTTTGCGCGCTGCTCTCTCTCTCTCTCCTTCTCTCTCTCCTCTCTCTCTCGCTCTTTCTCTCCCTCTCCTCTATCACCCTCTCTGCCTCTCTCTCTCTCTCTCTCTCTCTGCCTCTGCCTCTCTCTCTGCTCTCTCTGCTGCGTCTCCTCTCTCGTCTCGTCGGTGCTCTCTCCTGTCTCTCTCTCCTCTTCATCTCTCTCGTTCTCTCTTCTCTCTCTCTCTCTCTTCTCTCTCTCTTCTCTCTGCTCTCTCTCTCTCTCTCTCTCTGCTCTGCTCTCTCTCTCTCTCTCTCTCTCTCTCTCTCTCTCTCTCCTCTCTCTCTCTCTCTCTCTCCTCTCCTCTCTCTGTCTTCCTCTCGTCTCCTTCTCGTCTTCTCTCCACTCCTCTCTCTCTCCCTCTCTCTCTCTCTTCCTCTCCTCTCTCTCTCTCTACCCATCTCTCCTCGCGCATCTCTCTCTCTCTCTCACTGTCGTCCCCTCGCTTCTCCTCCTACTTCTCTCTCTCTCATCTCTTCCCTCTCGTCTCTCTCTCTCTCTGCTTCCTCTGCTGCTCAGCTGCTCTCTCTCTCGCGCTCTCTCTCAACTTTCTCTCCTTCTCGAGGCGGTAGCGCTGCGGACCGAAGGCTGTTGTGACGATGTCTATACACTGTCTGATTGTCTATCAGACTGATTGTCTGATGTTCTTCTAGACTTCTTAACACGGCCTAGCAAGACCGTTTCATGAGCTACAACCATAGAGTAACGGTTTTTTATATAACTTCCAATAAATGTTTATACTATAGATTAATTTGGGTGGGTTCACCTCCGGCAGCCCATGTTTATACATGTTTAACGTACATGTCCCGGTTCCCAGCAGGGCGGCCAGCGATGGTAGGCAAATTATGAAGAAAGTTGCTCTAAATAAACTGGCTGTGTCCCGCGGAACACCATCTAAGACGGATCAGATCTCCTTGTCGATCCCGTGGCAGATGGACAAGTACAGACAAACGGATAGCCCTTTATTACGAAACTCCACGGCCTGGGATGTATCAGGAACCTTCTCCGAAGAAATGTTCGTTGCGGCATCTGTTAATCGAAAGTTGGCCACGAGATGGGCGTACGTTGAGTGTCATTAAGCCTTAAAGATGAAAGCTCGCCAAGCGTACGGTAGTAGTAGACGGA